AAAAAAAAAAAAAAAAAAAAAAAAAAAATTACCTTATATAAAAATATTTGAGGTTGTAATTTTTTTTTTTTTTTTTTTTGCTGGGTTTTCTTTTGCACAAATCGGAATAAAGTTTTGTAAAAACTTTTTTTTTTTTTTATAAAAAATGTTTTTCTTCTCCGCAAAAGTAAAATAAAACTTTGTTCGGAATATAAAAAATACACAATCTTCGTAGCGAGCAAGTAAGGAAGCATCTCGTATAAAAGAAAAGCAAAAAAATTTTCTTTTCTTTTTTCCTCCTCACAACAACTTTAATCGGATTTAAGAAGAAACATAACCGGGGGAAATTTTTATATACATAAATTTTTTTTTTTTTTTTTTTGTTTTTCCTTAAAGATTTTTTTGTTTTCATCGATCAACCAAACACATTTCCCTTCCTAACTCGATCGATGACAATATAAAAAAATCGATAAATTTCTCCCGTAAACAAACGAATTGTAATTTTGTATTAATATCCTTCCTTCTTACTCCTGTTGCTGCAGCAAAAAAAAACAAAAATAAAAAAAATTTCAAATGAAATGACTCAGCGACTGAACTATTGCCAATCGTTTCAATTAAAAAACAAGAAAAAGGAACATAAAGTCGTAAAAAGAATGCAAATTTCGTTTGTTTGGATCGATTGTCTGTGTTAAGCTTGTGTAAGCACACAGCAGGAGAAAGTTTTCCACCGTTGCGAAATGTTTGATAATTGTTTAAAATTCGACTTCGTTCGATTGGAAAATATAATCAATTTATTTGTTTTAAACAAAACAAAAAAAATTGCTCTGGGATAATTCATTTAATTAAAATATGACTTTTTTTTTTGCCTGCCTGCCTTCCTTTCTTCCTTCCTTCCTTTCTCTCTCTCTCCATCTTCCCCCGCAAAATAGAGTGTCGATGAGAATACATATGACGCGTGAAAAAAATAAAACCGTAGGGATTTGATTATTATGCGTGGGAGGAAATAAAACGGAAAAGAAGAAAAAAAAAAATTATATATATATATATATATATATATATATATATATATAGGAAACCGATAAATTTCCACGACGAATTTAATTTAATTTATTCATTAAAAAAAAAAAAAAATATTATTTTTGTCTTCGGGTATGTGTGTGTGTATTATCAACGACCAAAGTTAAAGCTCTCTCTCTCTCTCTCTCTCCCTCTCTTTCTCTAACAGGTTTATTCCTTGGCGTCAAACGTTCAAATCCTTTTATTCATTACGTCTTTATATTTTTTTTTTTTTTGCGGTTACTCCATTTTTCCGACATTTTTTTTTTTATGTATACATAAACAAAGTTTTGTTTTTCTCTCCCTCCCCCTCCTCCCCCAGTATTTTAACCCGAGCTTTAACTATTAGACAAAATTTAAGAAAATTCCAATTTGTGAGTGACAAAGAGGGGGAAAAAAAAAAATTTACACCGAAAGGTCGTAATGTCATTCATGATTTCCCTTAAATTTTCCGGATTCATTTTCAAAATTTTCAAACGAATTTCCTCATTCGAATTTTCTCGATTTTCCCTAATAATATTATTTTCTCAAATAAAAATTAAAAAAAAATAAAAATAAAAAAGAAAGTAAAATCAAAAGAAAATTCTTACCTCTTCGTAAAATCTTAATTGAGGTACAGGTTCTTCGCAACAATTTTCACAAAAATCTTTAAAAAGAAGATAACCTGAAATTAAAAAATAAAACATAAAATAAATAAATAAATAAATTTATCCATCTTTTTCCCTTTTTTATTATTTTTTTCATTATTAAAGGACGAATCAATAAACTCATACCGATAAAATCAATCAACCGGAAAAACAAAAACAAAAAAAAAAAAACTAAGCAAAAATTTTTTTTTTTTTTTTTTGGAAAATTTAACCCAAGAGGAAAATAATAATTATTATTTTTTTTACCTCACGTTTAACGAACCTAATTTTTCTTTTTACCTTTATTCATTATTTTTTTAAAAATTTAATTTTCCAAGTAAAATTTAATTGAATTTTTAATTTATATTTAAACGATTCAATTTATTCAAATGCGGGGGTGAAAGGAGCCGCCCAAAAGCTCAAAACAAAATAAATACTGTCGATATTTTCTAATTAAATGACACAAAGTGAAAATGACATTTGAACTTCAATGCGTACGGTTGTAAATTTTCATTTTGTCTTCTGCTTTTCCCCTCTCTCCTCCCCTTTCGACATCCCTTTGCGAGAGGGGGAGAGAGAGAGAAAATTGATCGACCACGTTTCTTTTTAGCTCATACAAACAACAAAATTTCCATCATTCAAACCTTTTCATATTGTCATTTCTTTTCCATTTTCCAACTTTTTTTTTAAAATCTTTTCCCGGAGAAAAGAAAATGAAAAAATGAGAGAAAAAATTATTATTATTATATTATTATTCGAATAAACATTAATTTAAAGTAATTAAAAAAACAAATTAATTAATATTTTATTTTTCAATTATATCAAATTTGTGATAGTTAATTATTTTTTCTATTTTAAAAAAAAAAAAAAATCCAATACTCTTCTTCTTTTTTCTTTCAATCCTTTTTCCTTTCCTCCCTCCCTCTCCCCCTTTTTTTAACCTTAAAAATTAATTTTTAATGGTGAAAACTTTAATTAAACGAATACAAATAATAATAATAATAATAAATTTTTACTGCGTTTAAAATTTAACGTTCGACAATTAAAAAACAAAAAAAATTATTATTATTATTATTTATTATAACATATAAATTTTTCTTTTTTAATTGTTCCTTTCGTATCATCAGTCAAATAAAATAATATTTTTCCTTTTTAATTATTTATTTTATTCTTGACAAGAGAAAGAGAGAGAGAGAAAAAAATTTTGTAATCATTGGTTATTTATTTATTAATTTTTCTAATTTTACACATTGATTTTTATTCGTCGAATTCATGATTCGAAAATTCAATTCGAAACACACAAAAACAAAAACAAACAATTAAAGAAGCGTTTGTTTAAATTGTAAAAAACATTTTTTTTTATTTATTTATTTGTTACTTTCGAATAACGCTCATTTTGAAAAAAAAAAAACAAAAAACTCGCGTCCCAATTAATTTAATTTATTTTATAAAAACAATTATTATTATTATTATCTTCACACGCTAATTTTTTATCACGATAATGATGATGATGATGGAGATGGTGATGATGATAATATTTTTATTATTGTTATAAGTGTACAATGATTTATTAAAATATATTTTAACAAAAGGTGACAAATATTAAATGTTACAAAATAAAAATGATTAAATGCACAAAATTAAAAACAACAACAACCACATTATCATTGAGCCAAGTTTTATTTTTAAATATATTTTATCGATATTAAAACAAATGAAAATTTTAAAATAAAACAAAGTAGGAAGTTAAAAAATAAATAAAATAAACGTACATTTTTTCCCCGTTTTCTCTCTCTCTCTCTTTCTCATCAAAAGGATTTTCTTTTAAAAACGAGTGTTTGAACATATGATTTCCGCGATTGAAAAAAACGTGACTGACACGTGGAAATATAAACATTATTACGTAATTAAATATAATATAATCACTTACTTACAAACACTTATGTTAAGAAATTTTTATTTAGATTCTTTTACGTGGGAAAATTCAGGGACGATGAATGATTTTGAATGAAATGATGAATGATTTTTAAACGAAAAGCAACAAAAATAAAACTACTGAAGGAATAAAGAAAATATACGACGCACAAAAGAATAATTAATATTTTAATAAATAAATATATCAACATTTACACCAACTCCCCACGAGTTTTCTCTTCATATTCGGTTTATAAAAAAAAAAAACAGGAAAAAATTTTTTCCATTTTTTAATTTTTTTTTTTGGGTTCGAATCAATTAACGAATTTCTATTTCGCCGCCCCTTCAACTTTTTAAATTCAATAAAAGTCAATCACACGATCAATCATCCACCAACATTTTTGTTATTCAGACATAATAATAATAATAATGGGATATTTGATTATAAAAAAAAAAAAAAAAAAAAATTTAATATAAATGCTTTTTCTTTTAATTATATGTATTTTTTTCCTTTGATGCACAAAATTAAATTTAGCATTCGCAGTTTTCCTTTTTTCTCATCTAAATAACATTTCATTCCACGTCTTGAAATTTTAAAATTTACAACACTTTTAAAACCATTTCATCATTCACAAAATAATCTACTTTTTTTTTTAAACAAGTGCCAACAAAAACTTGGGCGCAAAAAAAAAAAAAAAAAAAAAAAATTTACGAATACGACTATCCCGCATAAAAATCCCGCATTTAAAAAAAAGTAATAATAATGATAATAATAAAAACGTACCAATTATCAGGCGAAAAAAAAATAAAAACTTGTGAAATGACAATTTTTAACAAACCCGAACGTACTTGCTATAAACCCGTTTAAAAAAAAGTACTTTTTAACAGACTTAAAGTAGGAAAAACTGATTAAAAAAAAAAAATTAAACCTGAAAGCATTGTAAATTTGAATTTTAAAAAATCAACGTTTTTTTTTTTTCTCCCAAAACGGTTTGGGGTTTTTTTTTGCCCCCCTTTAAAAAAAAAAAAAATGATTTTTTTGGCCTTTGGTTTGAAATTTTTAAACAAAAAGGTCCGTAAACTTGTAAACAAATTTTTGAAAAAAAAAAAAAAAAAAAAAAAAACGGGCAACATGGGTTCGTTTGAAATAAAGGGTAGTACAAAATGATGACCCCAAAAAACAAATTTACCCCCAAACCCCCCCCCGCCCCCGCACGCCCGCCCCCGCAAAAAAAAGAATTTTTAATACATTGGGGCCAAAGGTCCTTAAAAAAAAAAAAAAAAAAAAAAAAAAAACCTCTACGAATTTACATGGAAATTTTTTTTTTTTTTTCCTTTTTTTAATTTCATTATTTATTTAATTTTTTTTAAACTCAATTTCGAAAGTTTAATTTTCCTCGATTTTTCCTTTTTTTCTTTTTTTTTCTGAAAATTTAAACTTGCCGATGTGCGTTACACGCGTAACCATTTCCCTCTCCCCTCCCTCCTCTTCATTTCTCCCTTCCTTTCATTTTTTAAAATAAATTTATTATTTCAAAGAAGAAGAAGAAGAAGAAAAAAAAAAAAAAACCTTCCTTAACTTGAAGAATGTCAAAAAGAAAATTCTTAAATTAGTTTTTTTTAAATAGATTAACTAAAGAGTTTTAATGAATATAATATTTACAACAAACGGAGAAGAAAATTTTTAACTAACTAACTAACTCGGCTCAACCCCGTGTTGTTATTATTATTATTTCGTTATTTTATTAAAAGAAACGGAAAAAAAAGAAAAAACATTTTTTTTTTTAATTAATTAATCAAAGAGTGCAAAAAAAAAAAAAAAGAAAAAAAAATGTTGGCCGATTTCCTCTTTTCCTCTACATTAAAAAAGAAAACGATGCGTGCAAATTTATTTGTTTATTTATTTATTTTTCGCTCGTTTTCATAACAAACGTAACACTTTTCACGCATAAGTTAAACGTAATTTGATAATTTGATTGATAAATCCTAAACCGATGATACTAATTCGTGAAAATTCGAAACATTTAAACGTCACTTATATCAAATTGTAAGGCATCAACATCATCGCCATCATTATTATTTTTTTTATATTCGAACAAAAAAAAAGGAAAATGAAAGTTTAAAATTTTTCAAACAAACAAACACGTTTCGCGATTTCTAATTTTCATCCCCTTTTCCACCCCTAAAAAAACTAAAATAAACCAAGTTTCAACGTGAACATCTCAATCAATAATCATTGGTGCTTCGAACATAAAAATTCCATTATTCACAATCCCGCCATTTTTTTTTTCCGGTCTCAACAAAAAAAAAAAATAATTGAACAAAATTTTCCCCTTAAAAAAAAAATCTATCGACTTTTATAAAGTTATCATCATTATCACTTAAACATTTTACGAAAAAATTTAATCAAAATAATAATAATATAATTTTAATAAAATGATATTATTAATATATATATATATATATATAAAAATATAATGTTTATTTATACGGCAATAAAGGTTTTCCACCGTAAACTTATTCACCTCGTAAAATTAACTTTTTTTTTTTTCTTTTCTTTTCTTTCCTTTTTTTTTTTTTTAAAAAAAAAAAAACTTTATTATTAAGCGATAATGGAAATCGTAAATTTATTTTTATTAAAATTTTATTTAAACCCCCTCCCCCCCTCTTCCCCCATCACCTCTTCCACCTTTCTCTCCTCCTCCAAGAGAAAAAAAATTTTTTTTAAATAAATAAATAAATAAACAGACAATAAACGAACGTTATTACTCGTTAAATGAAAATTAAAACAATAATTTTAACTGATTTTATAATTTTTTTTTTTTTTTTAATGCGACGAAACTAACATAAAATTTATTTTTATTAAACGTTTTAATTAATAACCCAAAATATAAATTAAAATAAACTTTTTTATTTTAATAAATAAATACGTAAATAAAGAAAAAACGTTACGAAACGCTTTCATTATTATTATTATTATTAGGTAACGGGGGGAAAAAAGATTTTCTTTTTTTTTTATCCCTTTAAATTTAAATGATTACGTAGTAACGCGCCGATGGATTTTATTTGTTAATATATATATAAAAATTCAGTGTGTGCGCGTGTGTGTGTGTGTTTGTCCCAA